CTTCGTTTTTAGGATTTTGGTTTTTTTTGGGGCTTAGGGTTTAAAGTTTAGGGTTTCAAGGGCTTCGTTTTTAGGATTTTGGGTTTTTGGGGCTTAGGGTCTAGAGTTTAGGGTTAAGGGCTTGGGGTTTAGGGTTTAGGGTTTTAAGGGCTTGGGGGGTTTAGGGGTTTGGGCTGTAGGGGTTTAGGGTTTAAAGTTTAGGGTTTATAGGGCTTGGGGTTTAGGATTTTGGGTTTTAGGGGTTTAGGGTTTTGGTTTTAGGGGTTTAGGTTTAAAGTCTAGGGTTTATTTACGGCACGGGGTTTAGGGGTTTAGGGTTTAAAGTTTAGGGTTTATTGGGGGGTAGGGTCTAAAGTTTAGAGTTTATGGCTTGGGGTCTAGGGGGGCTGAGGGAGTGTCTGGAAGGGTGTCCTTTGAGGGTATCTCTAACGGTACTATAGGGGTCTTAACCAGGGTTAACTTAAGGGTACTTGTACAGTAGGGTTGCCAGAAAAGGTACTATAGGGTTCTATAACAGGGGAAGGAGGCTACTGTAGGATTCCCTAATCGGGTTCCTTTTTACGGTTTAGGCTTTGTGGCATCCTCATCACATTCGCGCACGGAACACGATCCTTCGGTTATCTCAAATGCATTTCGGCAACACTGGAGGCGGCAGCACCCAAGAGTCTTTCAAAGGTCACGGTCAGGTACAGGTTTGCATCTGCAAGTGCCCAAAACGTTGGGGGACACTTTATAGCCTTGTCCCCCAAGCCTTCAATTCTCTAACTCGCATCTTCGCGGTCTTTTTCAGTCGGAGGCGTGTGGCCTGGAACTATTGCCAATGATGCCTCGGGTTGAGGGCGCCAGTTTAGTAAGCTTCGCCGGATGTGCGTGATGTAGGACCCTTGATCGTGAAGCCATAGGTTGGACCTTGTAGGAACCTTTGTCACTGAAACGAGACAGCTGAACGCGATAGAGGAGCTTCAAGAATCGATTGTCTGGTTCCTAGTAGAAGCTACGCACTAGTCCACCAAAGCCTGCTAAACCCTAAATCCTAAATCCTAAACCCAAAACCCTGGTCAGACTCATATGACGCGCTGGGCTTGGTTTCTGTGTGTTTCGTGAGTTAGCTCATTCGTGAGTGGTCCTCGCCAGCCAGGATCCATAGAATCTTGCATTAATTTAGTTAATATAGGGGCCTCAATAATTGGAATAGGATTTTGGGGTATATT